TCTTATAAATATCGATTCATTTTTGTTATTTAAGTTGTGTAAATAATTCAACATTTACTAAAAAGATACTGAATTGCTCGATTGATACTGAACGGAATCTGAGAGTGGGGCAAGTCGCGTCCTTCCGTTCCAATCGTTGATTTATCTCGACTGGTGGCACGCCGTTGGAGCCTGGGTGTAACGCGTTGCCCATTGTACGTGTCCCTGTCGCAACGGCAACGATTTATCGCCGAGCACCTTGCACGCTGGCTCTGACGAAACGGTCTGTTGGTCAGTCCGCGTGACACTGTCTTCAGTCGCTCCGGTATCCGAGAGAATCGCTTAGACTAGATTGCCATGACGGTACATCGTTACGTAACGTGCGACGGTATCACAAGAGAATGTTTAATGGATTTTTCTAATAATAATAATTAATACCTCGTGAACTGGTTGCGACAGGTTGATTAAAAGATGCGCAAACAGGCTCCCGAATGAGAACGTTCACACGAATCGATGGATAAACACGTTTTAAATCTGTTTCACAACAAACGATCCCATCGGGATTAATTTTATCATGAGAAACGTCGTAGATCGAGATTAGAAGTGAAAATGAATTTAGGATTCATATCGAACTGGTAGGTCTGACCGTCATCGAGGGTGGGAAACAGCTGGCGAGTGCCAAACAGATTTATGTTATAGTATAAATTAATTGTACTAGCTGGTTGGGAGAGGAATTAGGTAGGAATCGTGAGGTGAACCGTAAATCAACTTCTCATTGTGCGGCGCACCCTTTCATACATATTTATTATACGTTGTTCCAGTCTGTGTCTTAATAATGAGGGAAAATGATCTGGCGGGCTTTGTTTGTTCTTAACTAGATTTTTTATTATTAACTGCGTGTCGCGTGTGTGTGTGGGAGTATCTGAACGATTAACAGAAAACTGTATTTTGAATTTACTATAATTATGTTGTACGGAATGCTTAAATTGTTGTCATTGTAAAGAAACAGGAATACGCAAAACGTGAGGGGGGAAAAAATGACGTTCACACTGTTTAGCGGTAGTTACGTGTTGGTGGAACAAGTTCCTCGTTGGAGATCGCGGAACGATCCGGGCAATCGTTGCGGACTTTCTTAGCACCAAGCCAATTGGACACGTAGCTATCTCGCGCGGTGCGACAACTTTTCCAGGCTGACTGACAGCGTTTCGAAACCCGCTTCCCATTGACGATACATGTTATTTACCAGAGGCTCGTTATTCAGGAACAATTTTATTGATACGTTACAGAATGCTGTTACACGTAACGCTTTTATCTAGCAATGTGACATTTAGATTTAGAATTACACTGACGACTTGAGAGGTTCATGGGAAAACTGTCTGCAAAGAGAAAACGATTTGATCTTCGATTGATTGTTGCTGGTGCTGGTGCTGGTTTTGGTGTTGAGATTGTTGGTACTACTGGCGTTGGGGCTCCTGTTGCTGCTAGTCGTGGGGCTGCTATTGCTACTGGTCGTGGGGCTCCTGTTGCTGCTAGTATTGGGTTTGCTGTTGCTGCTAGTGTTGGAACTGCTCTTGCTGCTAGTATTGGGTTTGCTGTTGCTGCTAGTGTTGGGGCTGCTGGTGCTGCTAGTGTTGAGGCTGCTGTTGCTGCTACTGTTGAAGCTGCTGTCGCTGCTAGTATTGGGGCTGCTGTTGCTACTAGTCGTGGAGCTGCTGTTGCTGCTAGTATTGGGTTTGCTGTTGCTGCTAGTGTTGGGGCTGCTGGTGCTGCTAGTGTTGAGGCTGCTGTTGCTGCTACTGTTACTGCTACTGTTGAGGCTGCTGTTGCTGCTACTGTTGCTGCTACTGTTGAGGCTGCTGTCGCTGCTAGGGTTGAGGCTGCTGTTGCTGCTCGTGTTAGGACACGAGCTGGATGCTATTAGTGTTGGACAATAGCTGGTGCTATTAGTGTTGGGGTTGCTGGTGTTAGGATTGCTGGTGTTGGGTCTGCTGGTGTTGGGGTTGCTGATATTGGGTCTGCTGATGTTGGGGTTGTTGGTGCGGCTAGTGTTGGGACGGCTGATGCTGTTGGTGTTGGGTCTGCTGGTGCTGCTTGTGTTGGGGCTGACATCCAGGGCTCGTTTTATGAAAGCAAACAGTCTCGCCACGGTTGCCAACGAGATCTTGCTATTCATTAAGCACCGCGAGTTAATTACGTACACGGGTTCAATTAATCCTCGGAGAAAAACCGACTCCACGCACTTTTCCTCTAATCCAATCCCATCAAGATTCGACTGATACGAGCCAACGAGCAATTAATCTGTCCATAGAAAGCTTCCAATATACAAGGTGTTTCAGTATCGACGATGCAACCATAGAAGGAGTGATTCTGATTGGATCAGAGAATAACTAAAATATATTAAATGAAGAAATTTTATTAATTTCACGATTTCTTCAAGGAAATCGACCTCGAACTTGTTCAGAACTTGCATTCTCTTCATCCTGTCGTAATTATTTTTCCTCTTCTCATAGACAATCACTCCATTTGCATATAAATAGTGGATCACCTTGTATGTAACCCGAGGTACGTGTCGATAATCGTAAAATTGATCGCTTTAGAGGATGACGGCTACCATCATCGATCGGCACTCTCGATCCCAATTTGCGCCAAGCCCGCAATAAATCAAACCGTTCAATTTCCATTTTGTTTTTCTTAACCAACGTAAATGGACCATGTAAAGCTTCCTGGAAAGCGATCGAGTCGCACGTCGGATAACGTCAACAGGGACATTCCCTACCGGAAGCTTGTACGCCTTTAGGAAAACCAATTGGGAAATACGACGACGGGATTCCAAACTTTCGATCGTTCGAGCGAGACAAATCGATTTTCTCCGGATGGGAATAATTCTCGTTGCCTTGCAAACGACCATTGGAATAGTCATTAATAAATACGTACAAGACCAGTCAGTCAGTCAGTCGTTCGTTCCTTATAGAGAAATCAATACAATCGGATATCAGGATTATTAAAATTAATACAAAACGAAAGGCTCGAATCTCGTCAACGTCTAACCTAAAAATAAGAACTTAAGAATTGAAAGAAAGCTTCGAGGAAATACGTTTAGCTCCTATGGGAACGTAATCAGCGTAGGAACATTCGTAGTGTCGTTCGAACGATCGTAATCGCATTAAACGTACAGTGAAAGCACGTTTCTCTTTCAATACCGCAGATTCCACAAGGTCGCTAAACAATAATAGAATCTACACAGCTGTCCGAGAATTTTTATTCAACATTTAAATATACACAGTGAGTGAATAAGTAACGTCAATTAAAATCATTCAATTACAGACATGGCGTAGCATAATTGTTTAGTATTTTATATATTATTTCTTATAAATTAGACATTTTCTCGAATCGCAAATGGCCACCGGATGTCGATTGGTACAGCCGATCTCCAATCGGTCCTTTTAATTGAGCAATTAAACTTTTCATGTCTGTCCGGGCCTGGTTAGGTGGTGGTGAGTTATGGCTGACCCGTTGCATCGATTGGGAAATTGAGTATCTCGTTTGAAGTGAACCGGGAGAGGAAGCGAGGCCTAATTTTCTCGATTAGAAAAATGAAAATATAATAAACCCGATTGGCACATAGTTACTCTCGTCCGGGGGCTAAACAATACGCCCGGATTTCAATGAGTTCTTAATTAACGCTTCTCTATCCTCCCTGTTTCGACGAAGGTCTCGTCTCGCGGCCCGCTCAATTAGCGTAACTCGCACTGCAGCGCACGCAATCCATTAGCCCGAATGCTTCGACTTCCCAGGATTCTATGCATAACATTCGCATCTGTGGGAAACGGTTCCCGTAAAACACCGCCGATTCTCTCCTGTCTTCATGGACGACGAATAATTAAGCACCGTGGAAATCGGCAAACAAACCTAAGTGATTATATAACCGCTCCAACAAGAGTCATCATCAGAGACATAGCTACTCAAAATCCATTGTAATTTTCATATTATGTATATATTATATATTATGTATCAATGTGCGAGTTTAAACGATTCTCAAATTGCGCAAAACTGCCATTTTTAATGATGGCGATGATTGTACGATTTTCCATCATAGTCAGTGATAGTCAATGAGCAGCGTAGTGAGACTCGAGGGTGTACGGCGAGTCAAGCGTGGCAATAAATATCCATCGCAAGTTTCGCCCTGTCATCGTCTGAATGGACCGCGGCGAGTATTCCGTGACGCAGTTGGAATCGGAAGAAATCGGCGGTTAGGAACGATTGGGAATAAAGGATCCGGTTTGATCGATGGGGGAACGCTGACGAGGAAACGCGCGTTCGCGCATTTACATTCGGCGGCGTTAAACTTTCGCGGCGAAACCGAAACGAATCATTGTGATAAATCAAGGGAAACGGCCGAGGCGTAATTACACCTGCTCTGATGAAGACTCGCTCGATCAGATGTCTGGATTATATTTTTCCTTACCAGATTTGCGAAACTGCTCGATTGAAACCAGATGAAATACAGATTTTTCATGCTGAGCCATGAGAATTCTCTCGTCCGCGTGTCTAATGAAATTCAACAATTCCGATTAGGCCAATCGAGATCTGTTTAACACTAGAAAGACTGAAATTTAGTATATATTGCCC